TCAGGAATAACCAAGTCTATTAACAGTTTTAGTGGTCTTTCCAGGGTAATGGAGGAAGGAGGCAACAAAGTGTTCATCCACCGCTCTTTCACTTCACCACCAGCTGTTGTCTTGTTATGTGAATGTGAGATTTAGTACAGCTGAAACCAGAAAACGGTCTCTTCCAAACCTGCACCTTGAAGAAACATACACACCAAAAATATTAAGGTGTTACATGCTTGTGCTAAAGAGCAGGAATAGCTGACAAAGAATAATGCAATTTTATGTACAATACATGGTGATAGATTCTGATGAACGTCTGTGGTAATTACCATGTCACACAGTTCTTGCAAGGAACACAAAATTCGCCATTTTTTTAAAGTGTATCCATTACTTGCAAATTGAATGTCATTTAACAATTTAACATTTTAACATTTGGGTGCATTAGAAAGGGTGTGGTTAGTAGGTCAAGAGAGGTTCTCCTCCCCCTCTATTCTGCATTGGTGAGGCCGCATCTGGAGTATTGTGTCCAGTTCTGGGCCCCTCAGTTCAAAAAGGACAGGGAACTGCTTGAAAGGGTCCAGCGCAGAGCTACTAAGATGATTAAGGGAGTGGAACATCTCCCTTATGAGGAAAGGCTGAGGGAGCTGGGTCTCTTTAGCTTGGAGACAAGGAGACTGAGAGGTGACCTCATCAGTGTTTACAAATATGTAGGGGGTGAGTGTCAGGGAGATGGAGTTAGGCTTTTCTCAGTGATGAGCAGTGATAGGACAAGGGGTAATGGGTGCAAATTAGAGCATAGGAGGTTCAAGGTGAATATCCAAAAAAAATATTTTTACTTGAGAGTGACAGAGCACTGGAACAGGCTGCCCAGAGAGGTTGTGGAGTTTCCCTCACTGGAGGCATTCAAAACCCACCTGGATGCGCTCCTGTGTGATGTGCTCTAGGTGACCTGCTCTGGCAGGGGGGGTTGGACTAGATGATCTTTCAAAGTCCCTTCCAACCCCTAGGATTCTATGATTCTATGATTCTATGAACAAGGATACCTTCTCTCTCACAAAGCTACCTAATTAGAAATTTCCAAGAAAAAAAAAAATCCACCTTAGATGCGATTTTCAATTGGATTGTCTAAAGTAATCCACACAGAAAGAATCCTCTTCAATTAAAAGCTGGGAACCATTTCCACTGATATTGCTACAGCTTTGCTTATTAATCAAAATAGACTTCAAGACATCTGTGTGTAACAAATGATGTTTCAGATTCAGCTATCCAGTCAACAGCTAAACTGAACAGAGCACTGCAACTTCAGAAACTCACACCATCCACAGAAACAGTTGTTATGCCTGTGAAGATGGCAGCTTCAGTCCAAACACACTGTTTTGACTTCAGCCTCACATTCTGTTAACACAGACATAGATGATTAAATCAAGACACATTTTCCCTTCTGCAGAGTTCTATCAACTTAGTCACTTATAATTACTCTTCAATCTAGCTGCAGTTGTCCAACACCTGATACATACACTCTGGCCAAACATTACATTCAATGATGTACATCCTACTGCTCAGCAGCATCTTTTCTTTGTTTCTATTTAACAGAATTCTTTCAACCTTCTCTGCAACTGTCTATTAAGATATGATTCTGAAAAGCTCTAACTGAAAAGGTTTGCTTTGGCTGGTAACAGTGCAAACTGAGAAATATTAGTTGCTCTCATGTTACATTCTCATCCTTTACCTACTATGTGTGATCCCATGCATCTTGTCCATATCCATGTTATTTTAAGGTCTTCCTCACTCTTAGAGATGTTCATGTTGTATGCTACAATATGCAAGGGCAGAAATCACAAGTGGCTGGATAAAAAGTAGGGCACTGATTACTAAATATACTTCCCAAAAATACAGATATCCACTAGTTTATCATCTTTCAGCTGCAAGAGCTCTTGCCATGACCTTATAACCGCTAGTCACAACAATATTTCCAAATATCTGTTGATGCTCTCCCAGCAAAACTGGTCCCTTCTCCAGGTACATCTGTACTCTTAGTTTTATTCTTCTGTAGAATAAATCAGAATTGTGTCATCTATAATAACAACACGGTAATTTTTACTATCTATCCTTTATTCTAGCCCTCTTTACTTATAAAATCCTGGAATCTGAGATAGACCAATACCCACTGTGCTACATGTGCTACACTGTGCTGCTTCTTCAAAGAATATCACAGCACACCTTTATTGGGGTCTGCTATTTTGTCTGCACAACTACACTGACATTCATTTCCTTCAATATTTTGACTTTCCTTCCCTAAACACTTTGACTGCCATTCAAAAGCAGCAAGGGAGCTGTAAGTGATATAACATAAATAGTTGTATTCTGTTGGAAAGACATCTCTAATACAGGTTGCCCAAACTGTAAGCATTCTTGGGTCTGTTTTATCTCATGTAAGGCACCCACAACAAAAATTTACTGCTATCTTGGGCTTGCAGTTGTTAGGAATTCTTACTCATTACTTGAGCAGAAATGGTTTTTTGTTTGAACAATGAATAAATATGTCAAGTTCATCAACAAGAGGTTTTCTGGTACAATTTAATACAAGAGTATAAAAAGAAAAAAAAAAGTCTCTGGAGACAATACCAAGATTTAAAAATGTCTTATTTATAATTATTGGAAGAAGGACGGAAGTTTTGCTAAACAATATTGCCAGCTAGTAACAGAAAATCTCACTGAAGAATTTCACAGTACTATTGTGTGTAGAAATTTCAGTTAATTATCAAGCAACTTCAGATAAAAAGACAACTTTGGATAAAAAGACAAGAAACCCTAAAATTCAAGCAAGGTGTTTTTAGTTTTAATCTCTGTTACATTATCTTTGCCTAAGGAGTTAACATAAAACAGCAATGTACTTTTAACACGTGAGACTAAGGAATATACAGTAGTATAGCTCTGTAGTCAAAACCAAAGAAAACAAGAACAAAGCAAGGTCATTTAATCTTTCCCCGAAACCAGAATACTTGGACTCCACTAATTTGGTTGAAATAGTGAAATGTGTTGAAATAGTGAAATGTGATGTAGACTTGTATTACCACAGATGGAGATTAAATTAGCCCTATTAAAATAATTTTAGTCACCTTGGCAAAGAATACAAAGGTTTGAGAAAAAAATACAACAAACCAAAACATTCAATCCCCTCCCACCAAAAGTACAAACAAGGAGATTCCTTTTGCAGTGCAACCTCTCTGTGGCAGTTTGAGATCAGCATGTTGTACAGGAATGCTTAAAACACTTCAAATAGTATAATGAACACAGACACTAAAATCCTGTGACAGTTACAATTTCCAAGTCTGTCCCTCAAGAAACAATGAAATCTAGAACATAAGCCCAGTTAGAAACTAGACAAAACCCTACCTCTTCTGTCTCACCATTTTCAAGTGAAGGATGAAGCAATGATTCGTTTGCAATGGGATCCTGAAACACATTTTTTGAACTACCATGTGGGTTCCCCCTGCCCTTGGAATTAGCCTGTGATGTGGAGATAGAAGCAGTAATACACACTGAGAGGGGACTAAGATATAGGAGAGAAAACATGAGAGAACAGCAGTGAACAAATGTTCATCAGCTCTTTATGAATTTTATTTACCAAAACGTTCCTTGAAGGGTTTCAGCATTAACACTGTTATTTGTAATCAATAATTGACTCTGTACTAGAAAAGTAATGAGACCTCTGAGATTATTGCACAAAAACCTGGCAGCAAGCCATTAATAACCCTTTGAAATGCACATATAGATCAGTTTCTGAAACTGAGTTGCAGAATGTCTCTAAAGCACAAAATAAATATATTGTTAAAGAATTGAAACTAAATACAATTATTTGATTTAAATCAAGTCCTGGAAGAAAATATTTTAATATGGCAAATACCCCAGCACTTGCTGCATGCATCCATAATCTAGTTATTTCATCATGAATGTGATCATATTTCTACGCCCTCCCCAAAATGTATAACCTTGACAAGAAATAGAAAACAGATAAAATGTAACATGAAACATTTCTTTTTTTAATATATATATTCCCATTTTGGTATTTAATGCTTAATCTATAAATAGACAGTCTCAGACACTAGAATGTTTTGTAAGTGTGTTATTGTGCTGTTTTAAGATTAAAATATTTTACATTAATAAATCCAAAGCAGTTCATTCTTTAGTCATGCTTCCAGTGAAAAAAAAATATTCTTTTATTTCATTAAGTATCAAAACTGGATTTTGCATTTTATCAGTAAGTGACTATATGCTGATGACTAAAATAGATCTAGTTCACAAAAGTATCGCTTATCTGAGTGCTCAGTAAATATTATATACAGGTAGTCAAAGAGTAGATGAGCAATATTGTGTAGTGCTGCTGTTAAGAAAAGTTTTTAAGTAATACAAAAATTTCCAATAATTTATGTCCTGGGGTTTTGTGTGTGTGTGCAACCAGGAAAAAAATTAAAGGAGATTTAAAAAAAAAAAAAAAAATCAAAATACTTATCCCAACTACTCTCAGTTAAGGAACAAAACCATAATTTTTTAAAAAGAGAAATAAAGTATTGCATATAGTTAAGATTTCTGCTAGTTACAAATTTAATTTAATAAAGTAATATGGAGGCAGCATGTGGTGGATTTAAATTCATACAATCTGTTAAAGTAATATACAATTGAAAATTAATTATCTAAAATTCTTAGGTTGCTTCAGCATAGTGCTACATATCGCTCAGTCTTGAAGGCTAAAATCAAGAATATTTGAATCTCATTCTAACATAAGCAAAGCTCATCTGCACCTTCTCTTAAATCTTTTAGCAGCATAGTCAGCTTTTATAAAGAGAAAAGGGCAAAACATTACCATAATTTACATATTCTAATATTTCCAAGGCATCAAAGGACCCAACTCGAAATTCCTATAACAATTGACAAAAAATATATTAACATAAACTTGCATTTACACTTTCAAAACATTTTAGTTAGTATTAAGTTGGCCTATGAAGCAGTAGTAAAGTGCAAAATATTTGGTATAATATCTAGTGATTAGTTTTTGCTTCTGTGGAATACAAAGGAGCAAGCCTGGCTCTTCCATTGACAGATATGGTGTTTGATGGAGGACCAACCTGGAGGCAGGGGATGGAAAAAAAAAAGAAAAAAAGAAATATTAACCTAATTTTCAGATTCTACTCTCTGTGTATTCTACATGGTATTACTTCAAGGCAACAGAAAACCTGTTACCTCAGTTAGTGTTTTTCTTATAACAATGAAAGACATCCTGTATGATTTCGGAACAAAGCACATATGCAATGGAAGAGGAAATGTAAGAAATTACTCAGAAACATATTTTATCCTATCTAAAAATTCCATATATAACTTTTTTAAACACATAATTTTCAGTCGTTCTCCAGACCTGGTTGCAAAGAAATACTTGAAAACACATCATTAACCAAACACTTTTCATTAAATATTGAATAGAGCTGATTTCTAACACAATCTCTAACACTCCTTTATACCATGGTTGTTTCTTTCCTCGGAAGTAAATTGCAGCTTCTTGGATAGATAGCAAAGTCCAGATTTTTAGGGGATCAGCATAAACCACCAACTTCAGCTGGAGTCAACAGGATCTGTGGATGCTTCACAGTCATGAGAACCCCATACCACAGCTCACAGTTTACTAAACACAATTAAAACATTCTGAAGAGAAAAATGGTTCAAAAGAAACCTCAAGACCCATTTTAGGTTAGTCATTACTGAGGGCCCTAATGAACAGAAAAAAGCAGCAACACAAAAGGTCATAGATCTAGGCACTGCATATGCACAACATATTAAGTAAAAGAGGGGGAAAAATAAAGATTTTTAGTTTTTAATGATTCCTTCACAGAGCTGAAAGAGAGAATGGTAAGAGGTAAAAAGAAAAGAAAGCACATGACAGACCTCATTCACAATTCAAATGGATCAGATTATTGATGCTTTTACTGAGTGCAGCATGATAGTGGAAGCTATAAAGTGAATGCATTTTAAAATAAGTCCTTTCAGTGATGGTAATCTTTTGGGTGCTAGTAAGTTATTGATACAAAAAGCTTAATTTCTTTGTTTGCCTTACTACTGCCAGTTCTACATGTTAAACATAAAATGAGATGGTTTTATTACATTTGCCACAGGCCCAAAACCCTCTTTTTCTGCTGTCAGACATGCCTGTAACACAGTGTATGTGCACTGGGTAGAAGTGAAAAAAAATAGCAAATACAGTTTTATGTTTGCTAAAAATTGAATGGGTTCTTTACTGTGTGTTTCAGGGGACTTTTTTGAAGCCTGTTTCAGGTTTCTGTGTTGCGGAAAGCTTTTTTTGTGCTCACAGTATCTTTATTATTATTATTTCTCCTTAAAAAACTATAGCCCTCTCCTCACCCCCAGCAGATATACTTCTGCCCAAAGAAGAGAAAGGGAAGGGGAAAAGGACTTCAATTATGATCTCTCTCTTCTTCCCCATGCCGTTCTTGTATGTAGACTGATAAACACTATATGGGTCAAATCTATCCTAAGAAGATTTCTATAAGGAAAGAATAACCACATAATTTTATTGTTTTCTTTCTAGTAGAAAGAGACATCTTGAATTTTGAAAAGCACATTACAAACTTTATTTTTTAAGTTATAAGCTACTGTGCCAACAGCCATGCATATGCATATTTCCCACAGAATCATAAAACAAAGTTCACACACTATACCAAGTAATTAAAGTTCAATGTTATTCAGAATGTAATTATGCATTGGATTAAAAAACAAACAAACAAAAAACACCTTAATAAAAATGCATGCAAACTAAATCCAAATAATATTTCTGGTAGAACAGATAGAGCTGACCTCTAGCTGACTCTGAACAATACAGCATTTACTTAATTTTATTCTGTTTTTAAAATGGCTGTAATTAGTGACATGAAGTTAGAAGTAATATTATGGTGTATTATGTACTACTTTTACTAACTGGAGGTGAAAAACTACTTAAGCATGCTTGTACATTTCCAGCAAACTGAATCTTCCTATTCAGTGTAGAAATAATAGGAGATCTACACGTCTCAGAGAGGCTGCTGCAGTGCTACACTGAAATAAAACCTTACGTATGAAATGGATTGTTCTAATATCTGACCATCCACAGAGAAATTTTGACCCTAGGGAATGAAAGACTTCGATAAAACAACAACAAAAAAAACCCCTCACATTCACCCATGACACGATTTGTTTCTTTCAAGTTTTATGTTCAAAAGGGAAGAGAAACAAAAACTATTGAATTTCTTTAATGTTCTGCAATGAGAAATTATTCCTCTATACTGAAAGCAAAATACTAATGCTGGATCAAGAAAGCTTTGTGTGAAACTATGATTATATTTTTTAGTTACACATTTAAAACAACACAGATTTTTTAAGTATGCAATGTTTCTGCCCAATAAGAGCAGTATAGGTGAATTTTAGGAGAGAAAAGAAAGATCATGCCACACTTTTAACCTGAGGGGGTAGGGGAAGATGGCCCTACCAAGGCTGTTGACAAAACATTGAGAAATATTTTCCTACTATCAAACAGAAGCAGGCGGCTGGAAATACATTTAAGAAGAATTCAAGACCTGACAGTGTAATAAATAGAAAAAATCAGTCTTCACAACTTGTGTGTTAACTGCCTGCAAGAGACTGCAGCTACACTGAGTCTTGGCATATGTCTAAAACCATACCACTTCAAACATATAAACACAAACAAATAATTGAAAATAATAATATAATAGCTTGGGTTGGGAGAGACTTTTGAAAGTCATCTAGTCTAACCCCCCCTGCAGTGAAGCAGGGACACCTTCAATTAGATCAGGTTACTCAGAGCCCTGTACAACCTGAGCCTGAATGTTTCCAGGGATGGGGCTACTGCCACCTCTCTAGGCAGCCTGTTCCAGTGTTTCATCACCCTCACTGTAAAAAAAAGTATTGCTTATATCTAGTGTATATCTACCGTCTTTTAGTTTAAAACCATTACTCCTCGTCCTATTGCTATAGGCCTTGCTAAATAGTGTGCCCCTTTCTTTCTTTACAGGCCCCCTTTAAGTGTTTAAAAGCCACTATAAGGTCTCCCTGAAGCCTCCTCTTCTGCAGGCTGAACAACCCCAACTCTCTCCACCTTTCCTGATAGGAAAAGTGTTTCAGCCCTCTGATCATTTTTGTGGCCTTCCTCTGGACCTGCTCCAATAGATCCATGTCTTTCCTGTGCTGAAAACATTCCTGATTTTATGAAAAAGATACTTAATTGATAACTTTAAGATTTCTAATTAATTTCAGGGAAATTTCCAATTGGATTTGTACTTTTTGAAAATACGGGCAGGAAGCTTTGTGTGTGCATTCACCAGTTCATTCATCAAAACTGAACTCTCTTCTCTACCTCTCTTCCCACTCTTAAGGGAGCTCCTGGCAGCTCCTGTGACAAAGCTAACTGCTTTTAGTGTCAGGCATTAGTATAGTCATTTTGAAGGAAGTACCAGGAGTTCATTGTTATGGATGCAATGATGAAAACTCACCCTTTTCAATCTGGCAGCAGCTTCTCCAGAGCGGATTGCAGCCATCAAACTCTGGTGGATCTGTTCTGGGTCAGAGCGCTGAAGCATCACCACAGTTTGTCTTTTAGTGACAGGGGCTGGGTGATCAGTGGAAGCACCTGATAGCATCTGACTCTTCTGCTCACTATTCACATTGCTGGCCTTCTGTAAAGGAAGAAAGCAGGAGGAAAAACAAAACAAAAACCTTTAATCTGAATTAGTCACAAACAGAAAACTACATCAACCTGGCACAAGGTTGCCTATCAAACTGCCACCATTCTAGTGTTTGCTTAGTTCAAGATTACAGAGATCAGCCACATTTCCACTATAGCACATAGTTCCTCCCTCAGGTAATTATGCCAGCAAATTTTTGTAACCCTGTTGAAATGTGTCCGTGCCTTGATCACTTGAAGCAAAACTCATCACACCACTCAGAATTAAATTAATCAGCATAGAGAACTACAAAGAACAAATCATACGTACTCTGAACTTAGAAGTAGTTATACACAGTATGAATTATTCTATTTAACGTACTGTTCTTTGAAGTAGGAGATGCTAATTATGGCAAGAAATAAATATTACCAATAATCTGAATGAGGGTTTTTTTCACTTCAGCATTCCATGTATTCCTGTGTTTCATTATGAAGCTGTGCTACTGCTGGACACCACAACACATTTACACTGTATGAATACAGCACTTTCTGATCAGCCTCTACACTAGTCACCCTAGATGACAGTGGATCAACTGTCAACCAATATTAGAGATTAAGTTTACCTTATCCATTAGACTATTCTGTGGTCCCCCTGTTATGGTTTTTAAGGAAGGATTTTTCGCTTGAGGCACAGAAGTAGCCGAGGAAAATTCAGCTGCTGAAGCAGCAGAGGGTAGTTCAACAGGAAACACCTCTCTTGGTGACTGGCTAGTGATTGTACGTGTCTTACTGAATGACTGGGACCTTTTGACTGCAGATGAGACAGCAAGAGCAAAAGGGGATGGTCTCGAACTGGAGTATGGCTTTGGAACTGCAAAAGTTCTTAGGGTTCTTAGGTTCAATGGTGCTTCTGGACAGGAGGGAAAACTTGAAGGTTTATTGCTTATAACAGGAGAAGTGGAGGATTCAACTCTTTTTTCATCAACTTTATCTTCATTTGCTGGAGGAGAGGAAGCACTTATTTTATGTAAAGACAAATAAGCTGGATCAGGTGATGAGATTTTATTTCCCATTTCTGTATTTTTAGCTTCATTTTGAATGGAATTAGGAGCACAAACAGTACTTCTCGCAATTGCAGATGTCACATAGTGACCTGAAGCTCTTCGTTGCATCTGCAGATAAAAAGAACTAGGCTTTATTGTAGGACTTAGTGTATTTGACTTGTCTTCAGTTTCAGAAGAAGCATTTTTATTATCCAAGCTCAGCAGTGGGACACGCTGTTTGGAAGACACTGTTTCCATCCGGTTGCTCTCAGTAGTAATCTCAGCTTCAGTCATCAAAACTTGTTTTGAAATGCTGTTCACTCTCTGCAGCAGATCATTTGCTGCTGCAGGTTCATTTTGTGAGTGCTTCTGTAAATTATCCACGTTTTTTGGAAGATGAGGAATTTCAGCTTGCACCTTGAATTCTTTAGGATCTTCATGCTTCAGAGAGTTTTCCAAAGTAGATACCTCTTGATCCTTATAATCTGATGGAATTTCTGATTCCCAACTCTTCATTATTTCTAAGGATTTTGGAGGCACAATTTTATAAGTAGTCATCCCAATTTTTGGTATGTAATCTCTTGTAATTTCATTAGAGGGCTTGGGTTTAGGTTTGGTGTCCTGTCTATAAAGAGGGTAACCCCTTACAGGAGAGCCCTCTGGAGTTCTTGGAGTTGTGTCTGGTGGAGCAAAATTACTGCCATTCATACAGATGTGACTTTGCTCTTTTACAGGCATTACTTTTTCATGGGTGGCTTCTTGTCTCTCAATATTTTGTTGTGTTTGTGTATCTTCATCCTCTTGTATTCTATGCCTCACTTGAAGTGGGTTGTTTGTATCTGTGCTGTATTGAGGGACCAGTCCTCTGAATGTGGATAATTCGCAATCTTCAGGAACAGTAATTTCTTTCTGTTTAGTCCTTCCCAAATTGCTTTCCAATGGACCTGCCTGAATTGCAACATCCTGAGTTTTTACTGTGTCCGAGCTGGTTTGATTAGTCTTCTGATTTTGATTTTCTGGAATCAGTTGAGGATAATTTCTGTGACTTCCAGAGATGTCGTTTTTACATGGCTGGCAGTTTGATAGTCTGTCAACTTCAAGCTTGTTATTTTCTCTAAAATCTCCTGCTTTAATTTCAACTGTCTGAAGTTCTTTCCCTTCTTCTGTTGTTGAAAGGAGTTTTGGCTCACTGTGATCTTTAAGTTAAAGAGAGATTCCAAAATTAATAAAAATGCCAAAAAGTTTCAGCCTTCCCCCTTACATTGGATTCAGGGCTTTGTGATGTATTTAACTACAAGGACTGGCTCCTCATTTATGTCAGAATTTTCCTGGACACTTACTTTTAAAGGCTATTTAAAGATAAATTTGACTAATACTGCCAAATAATAGTATTCTAACTCAGGTATTCTTTCTTAATTAACAGGCTACTGATGCCATGCATCAGCTTAATAGAAAAATCTATTCTAAAATAATTTAAGAAGTGCTAATGTATTTCAGTTGGTTGTAATAAGTGACTCAAGAGCTCAAAGACTATTCAATATTAAGTTTGATGCAGTCTTTATGTAGTTCCATACTTTTGTGGGGGCTACTCTTTAGTTTTAACATTTCAAATGTTATTTGTCAGCTACACCTTATGTATTTGTAAAAGGGGACAACTGGAAAACATATGGACAAAAGCCATTTTCCAAGTCCATTTTTCAAAAAGTTTAACAAGTTTAGCAAGACTCTGATAACTCAGTTTTCTATCCCTGGACTAAACACATGTAGTCTTCTCCAAAACACAGGAATATTTTGGTCAAATTATTTTAAATACAACATTGGAAAAATTAAATTCTTCAGGAATAATAATTTGGGTGGTATTTTGCAAGAAAAAATGGATAACCTCCTTTCAAGTATGTTATAAAATGATTGTTAAGACTTATGCCACATATAAACAGGACTCATGCAGTATATTGTTTGAGTTATAAACAGAGATGTAAAAGACTGGAAGGCCCAAGATATAAATCTGAAAATCAGTGTCACAAAAGGGTAAGGCAGGTCACTTAATCTAGAGAAAAATTTGACATCCATTACATGCACAGGATGTTGTAATTTCTTTTCAAATCACCATGCCATTCTGTGCTGTTATTATTTGAAAAGATTTGCCTTTTCATGCAGAAAACTTATGCTATCTTCATAAGCAAACAACCACCACTGGCCTCTCCTTCCCTGCTGCACTGCAGTGCCCATGTTGCACCACGTGGCAGGATCACCTCTGTGTCCAACCTCCCTCTCCTCAGCACTGCTCCAGCCATACCTACCTACAACGGCACAATGCAGCACTGACTACTGCAATAGGTAGTAATTTAAAAATATTAAAAATAAAAGCAAAAAAACACAAAACTGCAGTCAATTCTTGCCACCTCATCTCAGAGAGGATAAACCAGAACTAGAGAAAGCACAAAGACAATAATCTGATTATAGGAATTCAAGGGCTGACTGTATTGTGAATTTTTTCAGAGGAACAAACAAGTTCTCTTCAGCATTGTTTTGAAGTACTAAAAATGAGTGGGAACTACTCACCATTTATTTTATTTTCATCCAAAATTCCAAGCTTCCTGTCTTTTTCAAATGCAGCCTGATCTTTGCTTATCTCAGTCTGTAGTCCTCTGCAAAGCACACAGTACATTAAATATGCTGGTACCATTCATTTTAGTAAACACAAGGAATGATGCAAGAGAACTGGCAATACTCTCCAAACACAGATGGACAAAATAGAATGATTCTGCCAAACATTGGAGTACTCAACCGAATAGATTACTTAAAAAAAAAAAAAAATGCTGCTATGATATTTTACCAAAATGACATCCAGCTTCACTGTCTTCTGTGAAAGCAGATGATCAGTTTTCGTTCCCTTCCTCCCCTCCTTTTGTTTACTCTTGCAGTTTGAACAAGCCACTTTGCACTAACTAATCAGTTTCACCGACACCACAAAGGTGATGGTTTATGATTCACACAACAGTTCTTAGTGTGAAGACTTCTAACATCCCCAACATTTAAAACATGTCCTTGATTTTGTCCCCAGCACAATATGCAGGAAGCTGCATGAGACACTGACTGCATATGAACATATGAACTGTGCAGTATGGACTTTTCAAAATAGTGATGAAAAATTCTGTCCCTTTCAAGAAATACCTTGAGAACAGCAAAGACACAGACATCAAATATGTAACTTGCATTCTACACATATTCCAAATGCATAGAATTTATGTCTTCAGATCCCAGTGAACAACAGAAATACAAAAATGCTTTAAACAGGAGCACCTGCTTTGAATTAATTCAAATAATAAATTCCCCAATTACCATCCACCCTCATATGTTGCTTGTACAGTCCAAAATATACTATAAGTGCCCAAGAAGGCATACGGTCTCAAAATTATCATTGGAAGAAAGCAAAATCTCAGTCCTGCACTTTGTACTCTTGCTTATCTCCATTCCCTTGAACACAGCTGAGGGACTGATCTACAAGTATTTGCAACAGGCTGAACAGTTTAAAACAAGAAAAGCAAACCCCAAGATCCACAGAACAGCACAGAGCATCATTATAGAAATCAGTAGTTTTGACTGGAATATTACATATATCCCCCAGTTTGATTAAAAGCAGCTCTTCAAAGTAACTAGGTATTTTATAAAAGATCTGAATTATCAAAAGATTTCCAGAAATAAAATGTCAGAGAAGCCTTAGTCCTCATTCTAGAATCCCTGTGATACTTCTGGAAAGAAAGGATCGCCAAATTGTAAAATAAGAGTGCAGTGCATGTTAGATGACATTTACCAGGATTATAGGCCTGAAAGGCTTATAAAAGTTAAGGAGCGAAAAAGGAAACATCCCCAGGACAACTGGCCTAACTGGCCCACTAACACTGGCCTGATAATTCACAAGTTCAAACCAACTTAAAAATAACATTTGGCTTATTCTTCTCCACATAGATCCCCATAGAGTAGAAACACCCAAGCAGCTAACACTGTATTTGTCAAGACAGAGCATCAACTATTTTTCCAAAGCCCCACTTGGCCCTGGACTGACAAAACAGACCCTTGATACACAAGTCAAAGCCCTCCATGCTACCTTGAAAGTTTTTGACTACTAGAGCATATACACATTTTGGCTGCAGTGCAATAAATGAAATAGTTCTCTCAATTTAAATTGGAAACAGTAACCAGTTTAGTTGCCCCAGGGAACAGAGAAATAGTGAATTACATTAAAACAATGGGACTTCTCTGGACAATCAACATTTATTTCATGCAGGCACTAACTTATGTTGGAAGCCTGCTGAGTCAGGTAGTTTAACAAACATGCTGAAGGGCAAAGGTACATCATCGCCAGAAGGCAAAAAGAGCAGTTAAGAAAACTAATGTGTTTATTCTTTAAAAAGGAAGAATTAACTTGTTTTCCCAAGAACAGATGGACCGGGACAGGTCAAGACAACTAGCTAATGTATAAGGAAAAGACAAAAGAAAACTAAGCCATAACAAATATGCAAACCATAGATAACTGTGCCTGGAAGAAGAAAAATGGACAATCTATCTGGTTTTCCCCAAGTCTAAGAATTAATTTCTAAATTCTCATCAAAAATTTTTTCACAGCATGCTGCTCTAATACATATGCTGGTTATTTTAGATCCAGCTTGAGTTTTTCTGGGGTCCAACTGTTTGAGTAGTAAGGAAAGGGAGACTTAAACAGAATAGTCTGCAGAACACTTCATTGTCTTTTTTGTTGAAAAGCTTCATGAATTGATATACACAGAAGAGAGCTACAATGAAAGCTAAGCATATTAAGCTCATTCCTCTCTCACAATTCTCCATTCTGTGCTTCACAATCAAACAGCACTCTACATTTTGCCTCCTCCATTCCCTCCCCAGTGCTCCTTTCTTTGTCACAAAACGTACTTACTTGCCATCTGTGCTCACATTTTCTTGTTTTTCTTCCTGGAAGCTTTGAGAGTTTTCTACAGAAACACTGCTGGGAACTGGAGCTGATGAAGCAAGATAATTTTTTTCAGTTTCCAGTGGCACCTCAGCAGAGTGGAAGGCTGCAGTAATCTCTCCTGTCCCGAGAGAGTAGTTTGTACTTTCACTGTCCTCTCTCTGTTGCACACTCATCTCTTCCTTTTCATCAATTTCTCCCAGGTTGTATTCTGAGCTCCTTACACCTACACTCACAGAAAGCAAACAAACAAACAAAACACAAAAAACGATTAAACAAAAAATGAAACAACCCACAACTCTCAATGCAGGGTGTAGATACAAAGGGTCTGGTGAAGTAAACCTAAGTAATTGGAAGAAGGAAAGCAGACTTCTCTTCTAATCCAGGTTAAACAAACAAAGAACCAAACCAAAACAAACAAAACCACTCGGTTTTAACTTCACACTATTTATTTTCTGGTTCTAATTCTCTCTTTTTATATGTGAGAATATGCTCATTGCCATGCTACTGTCCATCTGTTTCTGAATCTGTAACTACAGTGTAACATTTTACTTGTTTAACCCAAGTACTGGATTAGGATAGGTCAAAATATATTTAACAAAATCATAATCCCAAATTTAATGAAAGTAGACAGTTTATTTTACCCAGATTTCTTAATATTTCTATTAGCTCTCCAATAAGGGTTAAAATACATGATTCCTTTGTATCAGAGTAGGTATGTTAGAGAACTAAAGAGCAACCCAAATCTCAGTTGTGTGCGTGCTTTGACCAAGTATGTTCCCCACTATCATAAATTTCCCATAATTACCTTGTATGTTAAAACATAGTTTGTAGCATCTTGTGTAGTGCCCTGTGTTACAGTGGAAGTGCACAAAAATATAGTACATAGAAAGATATTAATTGATAAAAATAATTAAGTTTTCAGCTAGAGCATAGTTAAACTAAAAGGTTTAGTTACTGGATTAGGACACACATAAATCAGTGTACCTGAAGTTAAACTTAAAAATCCCTCTGTTTTGGTATCCAGAGGAACTGACCCTCTCTAGCTTCACTTCCCTGCCAGGAATCTTCCTACAAGATGATGATTCACATTTTTTTAATATTAATAAGTAGCCATACAATTAACCTGTTGGCCCTGCAATTTGCCTTCTATAACACAAAGAAAATAGTAATTGCATCTCTAAAGTGCAATATGGTACCACAGAAGGCTACTGACAACAGAGCCATAAAAGCAGTGCCCTCTGCCTGACCTCACCACGGTATTCCTGTCAGTTCTGCAAGCACCAATACCCATTAGGTACAGGCCTTGCACTTGGGCTATCAGGTTTCATATTTTTCTAACCTGCATCAGTAAATTTCCAACTGTAAACCAAGGCTAAGAATGAAAACAAAATACTGGCTTAAAGCAAGCAATGCTGGAAAGCAGCAGATCCCAAAGTACAAAAAATCTTAAGGCTGACTTTTTTGTAGAGAGTGGTATCCCACAATGCTTCCAGCACTTCTCTAGTACTCTGTTATAGGGCTGTAATAGAGGGCTCTATGTAGTGGAGAAAATCTCAGAACGGAAGCTTTGACTTTTCCAATAGAGTCATTAGTTAAGAGTTAGTAATACCGAAGTTACTCATTCACAGTTACAGAGAAACTATAACAGCCAAACAATTCACTATTTAATTCTAGTTTTTTCTGTTGCACTCTTGTAATAATGCCTCGTAGTTACATATTAGGGAATATGATAAACATGTGTCATAGCCCTTAAGGCAGAGGTGATTTAGATCCCCAGGGAAAAAGGGGCAAGACTGCCAAGTGGTGCAGGTGAGGTCCTTCCATGTGAGTTAAGCACTGGTACATACCAATATGCCACATGGGTATTAAGTGGACTCCTTAAGAATTTACTATTAGTAAGGGTCTTCTCTTCCTTTCTCCTTCTGCCAGACCCTTTCATCTCCATCCATGGAAAAGTCATGCCAGCAGCCTAATACTCTGGGAGATTATTTTAATGATAGCAGTACAATTTTATGGGTGCAAAGATAAGTATTTGTCACAAGGCACAAAAAAAGCTTAACAGAATACAGGCAAACATCAAACCTGCTGAGACTGTTCCACAGCCCATAACCAGCCCTCATGAATAGTCTCCTTCACTGATTTGAACTTGTATGCCATGGGCCTGAGCCATCAACAGCCACAAGAACAAAGACTAAGACCTTCAATCTAAATGCTCTGTGGAACTCTAAATTATAAAACAAAGCATGGCGAGGACTTCGGACAAGACAAATGGAAGCATTCTGGAGTTGCTATGGCTTCATGCCCAGCCACTGCTGTCCTTTCTTTTGCTTCTCCTCTGGAGGGGAGTATAACAAAGGCTGAGTTGTATCTATACTGATGACACGGAAACTTAATTTGGGTTGGTAGGAGACATTTCTGGCATTCCT